CAAAGTGCTGAGATGACAGGCTGAGCCACCAGTCTGCCAGAGTTTTCTTTGGCAGTTGGGTGGTCACCTAACTGGGCAGCTAAGCAAAAGCATTGCGCCTTTATGACTTTGCTGGGCCCTAGGCACTTTTGCCTTCATGGGCTCCTTCTCCATACACAATATTTAAAAGTCTGTTTTACAACTGTGATGATAAAAAGACAAGTATGTCAATGTTATATATGAAAGCATTTTCATGGGCCCCTAAGAGTACTGTGGGCTCGAGGCACTGAGCCTACTGTGCCTAATGGGTAAGTTGGCGTTGGGCAAAACCAGGACGATGTGACACAGCCTGGACACAACATTAAAGGATCTAGAAGATATGGTTCTCATGGGGGCGGCCATACACACAGTAGCAGTCACACAGGAAGGAGCTGGAGTCATCTAAGGAGCAGTCACACAGGAAGGAGCTGGAGTCATTTAAGGAGGGGGTGGTGAGGACCCACTGTGGGGCTGGACTGGAGGAGTCGCAGTTTGGGGATGGCCCTGGTGGTGGAGAGAACAGTGAGGAGGCTGTTGCCCCAGTATAACCTGATGTGGAAGCTCAGGGAGCAACAGTGGAAATGGAAGGGGGAGGGGAGGGGAAGAGATATTTGGGAAGATGAAGCAGATCCTGCCCATGTGAGGGGTCACCCACTTGAGGGGCTGGTGCAGGGAGAAGCTGGGGCTGTCTTCCCTGGCTTGGGTGAATGGCAGATGCTGCAACCCCTTTTGGAAAAGAGGGAGGTAGGAGGAGAACCTGGACTCTAGGAAAGCCAAATGGAAGATCCTTTGTAGACAACAAAGCAGGGAGACTCCAAGTGACTTCACAGGCACTTGGGCAACTTCAGGGCCACCTCCTGCCCAGATCCCGGCAACTGATCCCAACAGACAGTCTAACTCTCTTCCTGCGGCCCAGGGTGCCTCCTCCCCAAAGCTCCATGCCCATTGGACCCCTTTCCTGCTCCCTATGGCCTACAGGACAAAAGCCCTCACCTGGGCATTCCCAGAATTCAGAAGGGGAAAAAGCACACAGAATTTTCAACATCCCTTATAGGAGAAAACAGCTTTAGAATTTCATTTGGCTACACATTTCTCAATCCCCAATAACTACCCTTATACCTGCTTTGCTACAAAAAACTATCCTTGACTCCCCACCTTCTAAAACAAACACTGGGCTTCCTCCAGAACAGTCTAGGCCAAAAACAGGACTGGGGCAGGACAAACACTCACAGGGAGAAGTGCTGGGTTTGAATGACTCCTTGAAAGGCAAACCTTCATTTATTTTCTCTAAAACATGAATTGAGCACCTACTATGTGCTTTGGCACCTTTTCAGGCACTGGGCATGCAACAAAAAACAAATGAGTCATGGTTCTTTGTGGAGATGATAGTGGAGAAAGACACTGTGAAAATGTCACTTTCCAAAGATTGATGCATGTTCTTCTAAAGTTTTGCCTCTTCACCAAAAAGTGATACTTTATACTCTCTCCTTTCAATCTGGGCAGACTTATGACTCACTTGGAGCTAACAGAATGCAGCCGTTATGAGTTTTCTTGACTTCTGAGGCTAGGTCATCAAAGACAATGCAGCTTCTGCCTTGTTGGGACACACACACGTCTTTGGAGCCCTGAGCCACAATGTAGGAAGTCCAATGACCCTGAGACTGCCATCCTGGGAGGGAGGCCAGGCCACACGGAGAGCCCATGTGTATATGTTTTGGCTGACATCCCAGCTGAGGTCCCAGACATTACGGCACAGAGACAAGTCATTCCCACTGTGTTTTGTCCAAATTCCTGACCCACAGAATTTATAAGCATCATAAAATGGCTGTTGTTTAAACCACTAAGTTTGGGGTTTTTTGCTATGCAAGAATGATAGCTAGGACATTAACAATAAACAAGCAAATAATGAGCAGGTTAATTTCATATTAGAATACGTCTTAGGGAAAGCATAAAACAGCATGACAGCTTGGGGAAAAGGCCAAGAGTAGGGGGAAGGGGTGAGAATGGGTCAGGAAAGGCCTGTCTGGAGAGACATTTGAACTGAGACCTAAGAAACAGCTCAGCCACTCCAAAGGCCTGGAAGAGACTTTCAGGCAGGGGGTAGAGCAAGTAATCAGCTTGTTGTGTTCAGTGAAAAGTAAGAAAGACAGTGTGACTAGGGGGATGCGGGTGAGAAGGAAATGGGGGGAAACCAAGTTGGAGAGGAAGGCAGAGGGGCGTCATTCTGGTCTTACAGGTCACTGAGAGAGGAGGTTAGATTTCACACGGAGAGAGCTGGGAGCTGGCGGGGGATATTAGGCAGGAGTGACTTGATCTGGTAAACACTTGATAAGAGTGCCGTCTGCCTGGTGGAGAACAGGTCGTAAGGACGGACAGGTCGGAGGGAGGCTACGGCGGTGAAAGGGGGCGTGTATGGGGGCCTGAAGCAGGGTGATGGCAGTGAAGATGAGGGCTGGTGAACACATTCCGGACACAGAGGCAATGAGAGAGTACCAAGGAGGGAGGAGGCGCCCAGCCCAGCCCGGGCGGAGACGTGGGTGAGGACGGGCACCGGCGTCCGCCTGCAGTCCGGGAGGGAGCCTCTACTCAGGGGCCGGCCGGGACCGCGCGTCCTGGCG